GAGTTCATAAACTGTTTCGTTTCTGCTTTCGCATCCACGCCGGAGCTTCTGCAGAAACAAGGATTACTGTAGCGGTACTAACTTGGTCTAAATTCCCCCCCCCCTTATCAGAACAGGTCCTAAACTTTTCTCATCTGCTAGCCGTGACCTATTCTAATGTTTTAATAGTTTTTTTCTTCCGTAGGAAAAGGTTTGTATCCCATAAATACTGTCCAAAAACCAGCATACTGGCAATTTTGAGGCTTTCTTTTCAAAATTTTCAGAAAATAAAAATGAAATTCCAAATTCTATTCGAAACGTCACTCGCGCTCTGTGCAGTCAGCTGTATTTCCTGTTCATCGATGATTTTCACTGGTTTTTATGCGGTTAATCACCAGCTACGGGCCATCGAGCCGGTTGCTGGCGTCATTCGCGACACCTGCCTGTACCGGTTTGACGAAAAATAAGCTATCTTCTGGATGACTCAGGAATTCGCTGTTGAAAGGAGTATCGAGGAAAAATATCTGCGTATCATGGACTTTGACTATAAACCTTGTTGTGCCCAAGGGAGATTTGGTTAAGTTTTCCTGTAGTGACTATAGAAGGACCTCGGCTCATGACAGAAGCCAGTTGCCTGACGCTTACCAACCTTTTTGAGATGCGCCATACAGTTGACATCCAATCAGCACTGTATAAGGACGCCTTAGTTGACCTATAGCACGATTTTCTGTGAAATAACTGATGCAAGTGCTTGTCGTCCTCCCAGATAAGTATTTTATTATCCCAAACCTTGGAGCGATGCAATTCTTGAATGCCTGGCCAGGTGTTCGATTCGGATTTTATTCTTCTACTTGAGAAAAGCCCTTAATGCGCACTTGGTGCAGGGTCGAATGCCCTTGTTTACTCACACAATCCATATAAATTTATTTACTTTGATTAAGAGAGCTATTCGGAAGAACCCACGTTTCTGATCACCAGTCAATTGCTGAAATGGATCGTTGTATTCATAAAAATATATAAGGAGTTATAAACAAAATAAATATAAGTATACAAAGTCATAAATATAAAGAGCGTCCAGCGTTTTTCTTAAGAATGCGTCACGCCCTTTAGTTGCCCTTGACTTTGTTTAATTAATTGGTTATGTAAAAGGTATGTAAAGGGCTCACACGAACAGATAAAACTTTCAAAGAAGAAGGGTGGATTGTGCTGTGACTAATAGTAAGTACTGTGTCCGTCTGAATTTCGAAACACTGTATGAT